TCTCTCTCTCTCTCTCTCTCTCTCTCTCTCTCTCTCTCTCTCTCTCTATCACGGACACGGACACACACACACACACACACACACACACACAATCTGCATTCACCCGGAAACGACCAATGCTCTACTTAGAGTTCACAGCCAGCCAGCATTAAAAGTCAGTTTTGAAAACTGGAGCACATTATTTTTGCAGCCTTCAAAAAAGGTCAATACTGATTATGTCATGTGCAACTGCTGTAAACTCTAATAGTAACACAGTGTCATGTAGAATCATTTTAAAACAGTGTACGTTTTTGGAAATACGTATGAGTGTTCACTTTGTCTCTTAGAATTAGCTGGCAAACTTGTAACTTCCTCTAAAGTCATACGTGCATTGTTGTCATTTCATTACTGTTTGTTTTCAGATTAAATGAACAACGTGTTAATTTGTGAGCTTCAGACAGTCTGATGATCTTTGCACTGAGCCAGGCTAGCTGTTTGCTTTCTTTCCAAGAGTTACATAAGAGGATTATTACCACGCTCATGTCTGTAAAGTAGGTGTAGCATAAAGACGGGAAACAAGGACAAACAGCTAGCTTAGCTCTGTCCAAATGTAATTTGCCGCCAGCACCTCTAATGCTCACTAATTAACAGCAAAAAAAGAAAAACAAGTTCTGCTTTTACCGGACTAATTCTAGGCCAGGTGCTGCTGTACTGTTCCCCCCTGTCGCTAGTCTTTGTGCTAAGCTAACTGACTGCTGCCGGTGGCTTTATATTTTTTTCTACTGCGGTTCCCCACCGGGTTAATTGCCGAAAAAATACTTTGTCAAAGATTTTGTAAGGAATACAGTATACACAGAATTGACTGTTGTATTTGAGGGATATACTTCACTTTCCAGATTGTTTGTGCTGTATTTTATCTCTTTATTATTCGGTGTCCTTCTTAGTTTTTGTGACATGTTATATTTCTGGAATTTCCAGCGTATTTGGACTTGAGAACTACAGCCGTGAACTGCATTTCCCATGAGCACCTGCACGGCAATGCGCAGGTGTGGTCTAGTTGATGTCATTAAATGCTCTGGGATTCCTTTTGTCAAACTTTTGCAGATGAAGGTCCAGAGAAGCCTGCAGAGCTTTGTCTCCTCTACATTTGACGGTTTTGACCTTCCTGCACTGCTGCTGTTCATTGGGAGTGTGTTGATCTTTTTAAAAGTGTTTTACTTCAACCTGCCTGGAAACAAGAGAGCAGGCTGTGTACCACCCAGAGGGTAGGGAGGAAGGTTTTACAACTAATTTAATCATAAACATCTGATTATAAATGTATCCAACTTCTTCAAATACTGTTTCCTGAGATACAGCAGATTGACAGAAAATCTGAATCCTTGTTTCGTTACTCATTTGTTTGCACAAAGGAAGTTTCCGGCATTAAACTAAGACTTGTTTTTTCTTGTGTGGTTTGCAATCAACCAAACGGTTTGGATTGGCATCTTTTCAGTGCCAAACCTGATATATTTCTCTCACCAACTCCTGTGTTCTCTATTCTACTCTCCTCTCTTCTTCCTGCACACGGCCCGCATGTTTCCTGTCCTGAATTTCGTCTCCTCTCTGTGCTGCTGTTTTTCTTCTTTTTCTCACATCGTCTCAGCTCATCGATCCTCGGGTGTCAATATTTTGACAGCTTTCAGTCCGTCAGAAAAGAGGCCTGAGTTATTGGATGCCAGTTGTGTGTGTGTGTGTGTGTGTGTGTGTGTGTGTGTGTGTGTGTGTGTGTGTGTGTGTGTGCGCCCGCAGGATGGGGGTCATATGTTGGTGTACTGGTGTTTCTGTCAATGGTTATTCTGTAATGTTATAATGAAGTGAGATAGACATTTTTGTGCTTCCTTAATCAGAAATGTATATCTACAGTTTTGTTTCTGGACTTCGTGAGCAACTCAACAAGCTATGATCCATGTATCTGAGATTTCCTTTTTTTCCAACTCCCATCATGTATTGAATTATTTATCATTTAAGTATAAGTTTAGAAAACTTGCAAAAGTTGAGTTGAAATGTACAGTTATTCATGAGTCACTATCTATAATGGCAAATAAGCTTGAAATGTTCCTCTTACGTATTAGGATAAAGAAAGAAGCCGCAGGGACAAAACGGTGCAAAAGTTCAACATGTCTTCTATTCTCCTGTAACTTCAATCTCATGTGACAGCGAAGCGGGAGGAGTATCAGGCTACAGATAACACAGAAAACTAGGACAATATATGATGCCCTCATATTATCCATCCTGTGCCTGCTGACAGGAGATGAGAAAAAAAAGACGAGAGGGATGGCAGACCAGCATTGAGTTGTAATTCATCTCTCTCTCTCACCATACAGCAGCTTCGAGACACTGAGAGAGCATCAAAGACATAAAGGAGGAAGAGAAAGACTGACGCTGATAAAGAAGAGAGGATAACTCGACGCAGAAGACTGAAAGGGAGACTTTAGTGATGGCTGAGGCACAGCAGCAGCAGCAGCCGGAGGAGGAAGAGGAGGAGGAGGAGGAGCAACAACAGAGCCCTGTGGAGGCGACCGAGACTGATGAAGGGTCTGAGGAACCGCAGAAGAGTGTCCACAAGAACCTGACCCGACCTCTACTGTCCATGAGGTCCATGAGCATTGTGGACCCGGACGACAACTCCCCCAACATGATCGTCTACAGAAAGGTAAGAGCTAAATACGAACGCTGTTTTTGTTTTAAAGTATTTTTTGTTCTTATTGATGAATCGGTATAGTTTGGGATTCCGTGGTGCTGCTAAGAGTTTGAGTCTGGAATATTTTTGGCCTCACCGACCTGTTCATAGTCACTCTCGCTTTATGTTTGAACCAAATGCTGTGAATAAAACTTTGGTAGCTATAATGATACATTTGAGTCCAAGGTTTTCCAAACTTGTTATTGTTGGTGTTACAGGCTCAAGGGAGAGACTTTGAATCCCCACGAGCTCACTCCAGTTGCAAACAGCTGTTCTGTGGAATAGTTTGTTTTCCAACATTGTTCGAACCATGGCACCCTTGCATTGGGTTGTTCTGAAATTTCATTGTGGATTTCCATAAGAATGTGTATTTAACAAAATTAAAAAACAGGAAAAATTAATACGACAATATATATGAACTAAAATCAATATTAAATGGGATAATACAAATCTATTCTCACTCTGAGTTAAGTCAGTTGTTTCATGGTGCTGCAGATAAACATAAAACTTAAACTAGAACAATGAATACAAACTGAGATTGATGATGTTTTTAAGTTCTTCAGATCAAACGTGAAATTAACTCGGAGTACATTTCACTGGCAGGTTCCTTCACAATGGCGACACTGCATTTTCCATTTGGAGCTGTCGGGTCAGATCTGCTGGATTGCCTTTAGAGCACAAAACAAGAAGCAAGTCACACTGTTGCTCCTTTTTTGTTGTTGTTCTGGAGCAAACTGAGTTGAAACTTTTAAAGGGTTTCTAGAAATAGTATGGAGTGAAAAACATATTTCAAAACAAAGCTAACATGTTCTCTTGGTCAGTAAAGGGCAACTTACTACATTTTTGGGAAAGCAGGGTTTATCCAGAGATAATGAACAATAGCAGCGGTTCACAAGACTCGACCTGAGCCGGGCTCAGGCACGCAACATTTCTGGCTTATTCCCTACCAGAAGGAAAAAAACTACAAGACACCAGCTCCTCCGCGCCAGATCTGTGGCATCTTTTCACATCGCAGTTAATTTGGCAATGATAAATTTGTGTTTAAAAATGCCACACAGAAGTATAGGACCTGGTATTCTGTCCCTGTTTTGGTAAGCATCCAGCCTGCTGAGAGGCTGTTTTGTGTCTGACCCTGACCTCTAACCTCATTGTGTAAAAGTAAGGGCTGTTACGGAGCAAAAGGAGGAGTGTACAAAGAATAAATGAGTTGAGAGCAAATGCAATAAACTCAAAGAACAAGGAAGAGAAAAAAGGGAATTGTCTAAAGAAGTGCAGGAGAGAGAAAGTAAAGAAAGATGAAAGTCTGAATGGGTAATCTACTAGTCTGACTAGTAGATTACATTTTTACCACATTACACAGGCAGATATCTCAGTGTATCTGCAAACACATGGCTGTGAAAGGCTACTTCAGAAGAATAACCGCAGCTGAGATGTGATGTAATACCACTCGCATGTTTTCCAGTACAGTCACCTCAGGAGAAAGAGGTTCTGGGGTCACGATTTACGATGTTGAAAGCATCGTATCTGTTTCGCTTCATGTCGGGTTTCAGCGTCAATAAATCGCCGTTGTTAGACTCACTGTGAAAGAGACAAAACCATCCTCCACAAAAATAAAAAGCTGTCGGCCATGTGGGGTTGTGGCTTTTTAATGTATGTGCATTACATTCACACAACTGAACAAAAGTCTGTTTTTGAAATTCAGAAAGAAAAAGAGAGATGTTCAGAAAATAAACACGTGGAACATTTTACAAGTGTCAGATGGGTTTTTACTGTAGGCAAGTTTTAAAATGTCACAGCAAAAAGTTTCATGTGACTCATCTTTGACTGGAAAAGTTAAAAATGTTGAGCACCGTTCACAGTACAATCGTTTAGCAGACGCTTTTATCTTAAGTGACTTACAATTCAGATTCTATCACATTCATACACAGTAGGTGCAGCTACGGGAGCAATTTTTGGGGTTAAGTGTCTTGCTCAAGGACACATGTTTAGTGGAGCCGGAGCCGGGGATCGAACCGATTGAAGAACGGCCCTGCTCTCCACTTAGCCACAGTCGCCCCACTTATACTTATAATAAAGCCTTTAAACACAGACCATTGTGATTCCATATTATCATTTAGTGTTACTTATTCCACAAATGCATTTCCCATGAAATAATTAAACATTCAGCCTCTCCACATAATGTAATACTCTTGGTCGTAAACCGACCTACTGATTCACAACATTTGTTATTACACGAAAGGTTGCTTTCTTATGAAATATGTATGTGCTGGACTGCATTTCCATTCGTCTTTCTGGACGAGTCCTCAATGAGCCACAAGCATGAGGGGGGGGGGGGAGGAAAAATGCAAATCGTGCCCCCGTTTTACGAACCTTTGGGACGCAAAGTATCAAGCTCAACTTTAAGCTGATGCAGGACCAGTTTTAGTGGTTGGAGGGATACATTAAGGCGGAACATGAGAGCTGATAGTCGATGCTTGAAGAGTAATTAGGATGAGAAGTGATGCCTCTGGCGATCAGACAGCCAATCGTCTGCCGGAAAGATGATGTACAACTTTACCCTTTCTTCTTCCTTCCATTTATTATTTTTAATGAATATGTCTGTCTGTTTTATCTAAGAATAACACAAAAGATAATGGGCTTCAGACTGTTTCCATTCCTCTCTGTATCATTCTATTTTTGTCTTATTCTATTATATAGTACTCTATTCTGTTTTACTACTTTTTTCATCTTATTCTGTTTCTATTCCTCTGTCTTATTCAGTTTTTTTTTTTTTTTTAAATTCTATTCTTTGTCTTATTCTATTCTGTCTAGTTCTATTCTATCTTGTTTATCTGAGATAAGGGAGAACTCGGAGTGAGTCGTACATCTACACAGCCGAGATACATACAGTACAGGTTTGTGTTTATCACACTCTCACCACCAGTTTATATTTTTAATTGTCAGCATCCAACGCGCGCCCGCGCACACACACACACACACACATACACACACACGGACACACGGAAGGTGAGGAGACTTGATGCTGTTGACAATATTGGAGGTTGTTGACTCACCTTTTCACCAGCATGTGTTCAAACCTGTCAGCCAGCATCTGCTCAGAAATTGTGTGTGTGTGTGTGTGTGTGTGTGTGTGTGTGTGTGTGTGTGTGTGTGTGTGTGTGTGTGTGTGTCTGCTGCTGCTGCTGCTGCTGCTGTTAGTGTGTTTGTACAGCCCTATTGCATATTTTTTCATTATCATCTGGTCTCACCAGTATGACAATAGTAGCTGTTGAACTGCAGGCCTGTTTACTTAGCGAGCTGTTTATTCAGATGCCTGTTCCCATATTCCTCTGAGCTGCTGGAACGTGACCGCAAAGAGAGCTCAGAGGTTGGGAAACCACGACGAGACTGTTGTTGGATGCTGCACAAACCTGAGTGCCTTAAAGAACATTCTCAGCAGAGTATTTAGCATTTTGCTAAGGAATTGGCATCAGGCTAAAATGTCCACCAATACTTAAAAGCTTCTCAAGCACATTATACCTAATGTACTCTTAAGAGGTTAACCTTTCGTTTCAATGACCCGATGGCCTTTGCTTTAGTACGACTCATATTTATGACCCCGTAATTAGTAAAACTTGAAGAGTAGCCAAATCAATGATCTATTGTTTGATCCATCCCAGACTTTTATTTAGTAGGTGCATTGAACAGCCTCAAAGGCTTCAGGAGAGCGTAGTTTTTCTGAACAATTTGCAGGTTGATTAGAATAATTGCACTCTGTTTGATACATAATATTGTAGAAAATATAGGGATTTATATTTATCTGTCAATACAATTAAATAAATTGTAATTGTAAGTGGTCACCTTCAATATAAGACAAATGTGATTATTAAGTAACTTATTATTTCAGTCTCAAACCTGATGCTGCGAACCCTCATGAATGAGTTAATGTCGTGCTTTCGCTCCACATTGTAGGACGCATCACATCTCTAAATGGAGAAAATATTGATCACAATCATTTATCCAACTAATGGCTTACATTTACTCTGTTTATGACGAGTATCCATAAAAAAATCCACCAAGTTCTCCATTTTATTCTTAAAACATTATTTCCTCTTGCAGCAGGGACAAATCTTTCAAAATGTAATCTAAACAAACCAGAGACTTTAGGACTAAAAAGAAAGATTTATTTTACAGATGAGATTTCTTGTCTCTTGCAGAGTTTGAGTTGTGAGTTTCTGTCTATAAACCAACTTCAATTCTTCAACAGGCCTCAAGCTTTTAGCAAACTAACGTCTGTGAAAAATACTCTTTTCTCACCGATCTTTGAAGAGAAACGGAGCATAAGTACTATTTTTCTTGTTGTTGGATACTCAATTCCCACCGGCTGTGCAGTGTGTGTGCGCTCATTTGTTTTTGTCATGTTGCAAAATGCCCGGACAAATGTCAAGAAACCTTCTAAGGAACAAAAGGGAAGCTATCAATGCACATTTTCAGGTACATATTGTTTTTCATGTCCGCTGCCCGTCCTTTGAAATCTACAGGGTGACTTTGAAGGGATCCCTTTCAGAGCAAAAGTAACTTCTGATGTGTTTTAAAAAAAAAAAAAAACATACCTGCAAATAAGAATCCCAATTTAAAGGACTAACTACATGAGAAAACATAAATTGTATTAAGGATATTTCTTAAGTGCTCTGTGCAGCATTAGAAACAATTCAGTGTGATTTAATGTTACAATTTAGACTTTATTTAATACTTGTATTGTTTAGTGTTAACATGAAACGCAGGCTGCACAAGGTGATGACTTATTTTATGCCTTTGAGCTTCTCATCCCCTTTACGAACCATAAAATCCCAGTCATGTGTAGTCACTGCGATCCGGCGCATATTTATTAGGCAATTTCACGTGGCAAAGATATTCATTGGCAAGCGAGAACATGAATCATAGCTCGCTGAACTCCCTACACAGCTTTCTGCTGAACTCTGATGGCATCAGTA